AAAAACTTCATTACCTTAGAAATAATTTTATTTACGTATACTATTACGTCATTAGTGTTTACGATCTTTTGAAACTCTATTCATGTAAACTAGACATCGAATTTAACGGACGCTTGGAAAAGTTCAAGGTTGGATATTATTTAAAGAAACTAACAATAAATTAACCAAATATTAAGGTTCCGATTTTCAATTGGAACATAATTTACTGAATACTATTAACAGAACAATTTTTATTTTAAAGTGAAAGTTTGTTAAATTTATGGATTTATAACGTTTGAAATAATAAACGTTATTATAAACAATTATGTAGTAACAATTTATATCAAAGTTTTGTGAAAAAAATTTATACTATTGATTGAACGAAGCATTAATTTTTTATTAATTTGTTTTTATCACAAACGGGCTTGAACCATCCAACCATTACCTTCGATTTTATTATGCATGACTCATTCAATCAAGAATTAAAATATGATTTCCAATCCATATCGTTTTTAGTAATAATTGAAAATTTTGACAAATAATTCACAAGTAACTTGTGTGATTAAATTGAAATTTCGTTTAAATATTTCCAACCTTGAATAAGAGAGAACCTAAAATTACTCGATTTCCTTTATATAATATTAATCTAAAATAGATTTTCGTTATCTCGTGAATACAGTTGCCGAAATTCGAGTGAAAAATAGTTATCTGTTCCCACAGTGACTAAGTATTTACTATTTACGTCCTCGAGAGAAGAGCCGCTCTAATGCCCACCGCGAAGTTAAACGGGGATTCCCCGATGAAAAAATAACCTTCACGAACTAGTTGGAAGCACCGGGAAACCCTACGTGCCCTTCACGCGCCGATGGCTCGTTTTAATGGGGACGAAAAGTAAACATCTGAATTAGTCCGTAAATACAAACAAGTTTTACTTGATTGGATTCGTATAGGACAACTTCTCTGTCAAAGTATTCAAGAAAGCAATAAAATTTCATCGACCGCGTGCGGTCCGGATGGACAGATTCCCTTGGAAAAAGGGATGAAAAACCCAGACAAACTTTGCGGCTCTCGAGGATAAACGACATCGATTCTACGGTTCTACAATGTCTACACCTACGATCTACGCCGCCAAAGACACGACCGTCCGTCCCTCATTCCTCTCCAAGAAACAAAACGCAGACGGGAAGACACAAATACCCCGTCCTGAGGAAAAGAAGAAAGAAACAGATCGATTGTAGGAAAAAAAGAGCGTATGATCGATCGGGAACGTCCCTTTTATTATTCCAAGTCTGCGTTACGTGGAAACCTTCCGTTAGCCAGACGAGGGTTGGAAACGTCAAATGTACTCCTTACATACCCATACATGGGCGAACCTCTTCTCCGTGTGTACACACGATCCACGAGACTTCTTCCCAACTTTTGTCGGAATAAATTAATCTGCAGTTGGTTAAATTCCATTTTTAGGGGGGACGGAGAGAACGGACGGGCGCGCGCTTGGCGACAAAACTTCCTTTTTTTATACAGTAAGTACGTAAGAAAAAAACTAGAGACCCGCGTGCAGCCGACGAAGATAGTGACTTGCGTGTGTTTAAGTGTGTTATATCTTTTTTTTTTTTTTTTTTTTTTTTATTTGTTCACTGTTTTGTATTTTGACGTGTTGTCTCGAAGAAAGCGTGCATCGTTGGGTCTATAAGCTACGGCTATGTAGTCAGGAGGGACCGTGATATCGGACGTTATACACTTCACTTAGATCATCCTAGGTCGCTAAAAGCTATACAGTCGGACGCCTACTACGCCATACTCTCTATTACTTTCTAACTATTTTACTTTTAATCTCGTGTGTACCGTATGCTTGTTTTTTTTTTTTTTTTCTAAAAAGACGCGAGAGTTATTTATTTTAAGCTTCAACAGCGACTACATTGAAGAATTTTGGAGGTTAGTAATAGTATAGTTTGTGGATAAAAGCTACAGTGAGCGATTTCGAAAGGCATCTGCCACGTGGAGAAAGCTCGTTAGATATAGTATAGGGTTTGGTTTGAGAAACGGATGAATATCGGATCAATTTAAATGTTCTACTTAGCAGAGGATTGTTGTGAAGAGACTGACCAACTTGAAGTTCAACTTATCATAATTGTTATGGTGATGTGCAAGCAATTAATCCGTATGTTTACTAATAAACCACCTGGATGATATAATAATGTCTCGATAATTGTTTACAAACTATTAGAATTATAACATTGTACTTAAAATAAATTGGTTTGGTAAACTGAAGAGACTAATCAACTTGAAGTTCAACTTATTATCATTTTAATGATATATGCAAGCAATTAATCCGTACATAATGAACCACCTGGATGATGTATAATAATGTATCGATAGTTGCAAACCATTAGCATCACAGCATTGTACTTAAAATAAATTGTTGAAATAGTTTTAGTAAATTTGCAAGTCATAATCACGGGAATTATAGGAGCCAAAGAATAAAACTAAACAAGGTCATGTAATTAAAAATAGACGTTTCTCAACCGATATTGTTAAGTTTTACGAGTATAAGAAACTCTGTCCTGCTCTACAGAGTAGGTATATAAGATATCTCATTTCGTTGAAGTTGAAACATGGTTTAGCAGTCTTGAAGTGTACTACTAAGAGTTCATAACTTCATGCAAAAATCAATACAAGACTAGTTTGTCAACAATAGTCCCTACAGCAATTTACCTACGTCAACACTGCCAAATCAGTCGAATAAACCAAAAGTCTTTGATTCCTCTACAGATATATTCATGACTACGTGAAAAAGCATCATCTACGTTTATTATATGCTCTACATATTAGTTGTTCGATTAGGTTAGAAGAGTATGAAAGATTTCCTAAACACCTATGCGCATCGGCTGTCTATGAAGAATAAAATACTTTTTTCTCTGCCTCTTTTTTCTATTTTCCGATTCTTCGTAATCTAAAAATCAACGATAGGTAAGTAATCAACGGCAGACTATAGGAACCGAACTCTTGGCAACTCGCTGATTTTTGGAACGAAGAATTCGATTAAACCCTGTATTACGTGCCACCGCCTCACTCGCACAAAAAATAGATCGAGTCCAACTTTCCTTTATGTAGTACTTATACAGATACACGCACCCGCACACCCATGTAGTTTTATTTTTACTCACTTGTCTCCCTTTTACTTTTAACACGAGTTTGCTCTATATATATATATATATTATATTTGGCAATATGATAACCAGAGTTTCGCTTGAGTTTTNTATATATATATTTTTTTTTATTTTCATCTGTCGAGTTTCGATACTTTATAGGACCAGCGCCTCGTCGAGGACGACTTGGTTTTTTCTTGATATTTGGCAGTAACAACTAGAACGATATCATCATCGATGTACATCGAAGCGGAAAAAAAGCAGCGCGACTTTGTTGTTTGTTGATTTTCAACTCGGTGAAACAGTGCAATGCCGGACTTTGTGTTTTTCGGTCTTTTGATTATGTATTTCGAACCTCGTTAACTTTCACAACCTTCGACATTTGATTTTGCGGGAGATAAACTTTTCTTTTGTCCGAACCCTTGAAAATACGCATAGAATTATTCCACTTTTCAAATCATTAAAATTGTTGGTGAGATTATTAAATAATAAGATTGCGAAAAAATAAAAAAATTATTAATCATGATTGTGAACAAGAGATAAAATACAACAAATTCAACGCATATTTTTAATTGCATACATTAAAGCCTCAGTCGGATACTCCGAGAAAAAAAAAGTAAAATTGTGTATGCATCGCCACGTGTGTGCAATAAAATATTTACATAGTATAATGAGACAAACAAACAAACTTGAACGATCGGGTCGTTAAAATTAGTATTGCACGTGTACCGCCGTTAAAATAAATGCACATGACAACTCGGGAAAACAAAAAATCGTCGCTTTAACGTACACATTCGGAGGCGGTTTTCGTAAAGGTAGACGCAAACTTAGGATGAATATCGAGAGTTAAATATGCAATACGTAATATATCGTACAACACGTAAAACATTCGACGTCGACATTCTTTCATCACTACTTCGATAGCAAAAATAAATATCGCCACACGCTCGTGTGCATATTGCGCAACACTGCTCTCTATACTTACAATGTACAATGATTTTCGAGCAAAATTTTCTCCTTCGCACTTTTTATAATCTATACACTCTCGGTACATTTACCTTACGCTATTATATCCATATTCATTTATGTATAGAATAAATATATTATTATAATGCGTCATGCCACTATTACGATGCCTTACACAGTTTATCATACAATAATGCGTATATCTCGTCTGTGAGTTTACGATGATCATTACGACGCACGTGAATTTTCTTTGTTTCGAGCATCATATTCTATTCCTCCCTTTTTTTAGTCACTTTTATTGTAACAAATAATTTTATAGTGTAAATTTATATTTCAAAGTTTTTTTGAAGCGTCGACAATTATTAAAGCCATCGCGAGTATTTCAAACTCACCGTGTTAGGAATGAAATCCGGTCAGAAAACTTACGTGCTAATACTTTGGTTTTGGAGAGCCGATTTAAAGTATACCGTGAAATTTTTTGCGACGAGGTACTAAGCCACAATACGTTTTCGATACTTAAAAGTGAGAGAAAAATGTATGAAAAATATGCTGATAAAAATTTGGAAAATAATTTTTTTTAAAGTCATCAATTTGTGTTGATTTTTTTCGTATAATCCAATAAATATTTCGATTCTTCGCAATTTCACTCAACTCTAACGGCAGTGGCTCCTTTCGCTCTATATATACTCACGAGATATATTATTATACCTATTAACACTATTATGGACGTTTTGCTCTGTCACGGGGTGCCTCCGCTTTTTAGGTGCGACAAACACACACACAAATGAAATTTAAACTCACCCTCTGGTACATTTGCAGTTTCCTTCTCCCACGTATTCCTGGGCACAAGTACATGTTTTCATAGATATTTTTTACTTTTTTAATAAAAATAGTTCAACCCCAGTTACGCATAAACATTTTTCTCTCGACATTTTACACGGATAAGACGACGTATGAATATACAGTTTGGGAATCTCAAATCTATTGTCAAAATAACTCTGTGTACATTGTCTCTTTTAATGCGGGAATAAAAATGCTTGTCGATCCATAGCCGAATCATCCGGATTCGGTCTCAGTTTGAGAACAGCAAAAAATCTCCCGAACGCGCATCAAGGAGGAAAAGCCATAATCCCCCTTTTTTTTTTCTTGAAAATATAATAAACACGAAAATGGATGATTGTTGAGAGCTAGGGAAGTAGAACGGGTCAGCTGGGCTGTTCCACTTTTCAAAACTCCGCGCGAGATCGTAAATAAGTTCGAAGCCGTCCCACCCCCATTTTTCCTTTCGCTGAACTAGTTTTCTCCTTTGGGGCGTAGCTCGAGGTGTTACACAATCCTCACTTTGAATTTCTTTTTTTGTTTCTCTCACGTTATTAGCATCTGTACGCGCTTCATTTTTTTTTGTTTTTTTTTTTTTTTCGTATGATAAAAAAAAACCAATGGTAAAAAAGAGTACGTGTACATTGTGTGGTCGAGGCACCCTTACGACTACGTGTATTGTTCGTAGTCCCCGCACTCGGACTGCGGGGGCGTGGACGGGCACTAGGTGAGATTCCGGTCCTCGTAGGCCTTCTCGTAGTCTCGCCTGCGTATGACCGCGAAATGCGTCACCTGGAAGGTGTTGGTCTTTTTGCAGCCGCGCTCTAACGTGCCGGTCATACTGTAGCCCATGTTGTAGTCGCTCGACGACACGTTGGACGTCAGGTACAGCTGGACGCCATGAAACAGAGGTACAAAAAAACGAGGGGTTTTCAAACGCCAAAGGGTCGAAAATAATTTTGTAAGAATTTTAAATTAAAAAAAAATGTGGAGTTAAACTTGGGGTTTTTCAATGATAAGATTGTGATTTTAAATGAAAAAATAAATATTACGAAAGTGGTATAGCTAAATGTAACAATCCACAATAAACACCAAGTAACTAATTTACTATTATTTATTTAACGAAAATTCATAGTTTTTGATATTTTTATGGTAAAAAACAGTTGCTCAGTTTCACGCAAAATTGTTTGGCCAACTTGGAAGCTGAAAATAGATAATCATGATCATGACTTTAGATTACAAAATTTACGTACTATTGGTACTTTAGATTTATGTACAATTAGTTTGTGGAATAAACTAAAACATAAATACCAATCTTTGATACAAAACTAATAATAATAATAATAATTTCCTTCGTTTTCTTGCACAAAGTTACTAACAAAGTTTTAAGCTATTAGGATGCAGGTGCGGGAAACTTAAAATGACTCTGGCATCTTTTCCTTTTTTTTTTATTCCATGCCAGTGCGCGAACGAGAAAATAAATATATGGAAGGTAACAAGAAAAGGGACAGAGAGTACGTGACACTGATACCCGGGGCTCTCGTCGAATATGCAAAAAATTTACAGCCACGGACACGCCGTGTGAAAAAGTGCAGTCGTTGCTCTCGCGAAACGGAAAAGGCAGAAGAAGAAAAAAAAGACCCCGCGTACGAGCTAGTCCTCGCTGACGCGGACAGGAACGGAGCTTGCAAAAAAAAAAAAAAAAAAAAAAAGGAGGATGCAAGCGCGACGAAAAAGCTGGGAACGAAGGAAACGTACAAATTGGACTCGGAAATCAGAAAGCTCTCGCCGTTCTAACTTCGGAATTGGGTAAAAAAAAAAGTTGGCTCCTCGTTACGGACGTCAAGATTTAATATACGGATGCATTAACGGTGCGGGTGCACGCATCAATCACCGACACACCGGACGGGGGACATCTCCTTTGTTACCCTGCGATTCCCCACCGAGGTATTCTCAAGCGCTGAAAAGTTAATCGCCCGATCCGGTAAGCTCGCCCGATAATTGATAAAACGAGAAGCGTAGATTATTATACCTCCGGTATAGAGCCAGAGGAGGCTTTTGCCGGATTAGCCGATAATTAATCGGGAGCTGAATCCATACACACGAGGATAGACGATGGGCTTAGAGTTTCGCGCGAGTTGTACGAGAAGCTACGACCTACCCCACCGACCTTTATACCGTACCCCTGGGACTTTGTTAATTCGCGACTAAACTATATGGAAGCAATCCTAACGAGAGATTATCATTACTCTCAAAAGAGCATACATGTAACAAACACCCAAAGACGCTCTCCCGGAAGCAGGTACTTATTCGCTCATTCGCAGTGCATGACGAGCCGCAAGTATAATATATGGAGTACAGGTGGTGGCAACGAGCGCATATTGGAAGAAACCCCTGCAGGCTTGCGAGCCACGCGCGATCCATTAGACCGAAGCGACCGATGGAAAAAAAAAAAAAAGAATAAATCCTATATTAACGCTTTACCGATGCAGCTAAGCTCAAGGAGGAGGATTGGTTGGCTCGCAGGGGCAACGAAACCATTCTACGCGCTTGAAAATCCAGTGGTACGCGACGCGTGTAAGGAACACCGTCTCGACGCTGTACAACGATTTCGAGGAGGAAGCCCTGCACGTATACACCCTATAGACGGCACATGCGGAGGTTACAGGCAGACACCAGATACGCGCGACGACGCGTACACAATACACTAACGATCCTCTCCTACCCCCCCTGGAGCGGTGACGACGTCTCTGGTGACACGCGACGATCGCGTGCTTTGCACACACTTGAACCTGCACACAATAGGTATGCTTCCTCGCGAGCTTGTATACGCTCGTTATCACGGGGGGGGGGATGAGGAGGGGGATGTTGTGGCCAAAGGGAGTTTCAGGAGGGGGAGGAGTGTTTATTATATACGTATGCATATAGTTACTTTGAAGTCGGCGTCAATGGTCATTCGTTTGAAGGAGCCGATGATGTAGAGCGCACCGTTGCCGTTGTCGACCATTTTCGCTTGCGTGCTGTACCTGCAACAGGACAAACAAACAGACCCGGTGGTCTTCAGTCACATATGTTTTTTCCTTTTTTTTTTTTTTTTTTTGTTTTGTTTTTCTGTCGCTAATTCATTTTCCCCAGAAACATCTGCGTGCACACGCCATATATTTACCCCACATTGCGTTACGGCATGATAATACATGTATAATCATCCCCCCTCCCCCGGTCTTTGGCAGCCAACCTCGTTTCTCCCTGTCCCTCGAGCAAATAGCCCTAATATTTAGACAACTGCACAATGGAAGCTGGAGAGTAGGTACACGCACAGAGAGAGAGAGAGACAAGGGGGGACTCTTACTCGGGGTTGGCTATACATGGCGAAGGAATTCCGGGTGAGGGTAGGAGCGCGAAATTATCCGCGGGAATTATTTCAGCCGGCTAAGTGCTCCATCAAGCTCGAGAGCATCCGGCCGCTGGCGCATACGTCTGTACGTAGCCTACAGCATTGTGCGTCGAGAGCATAGTGATGGCAGGTATATGAGTACCAACAAAGGAAGGGGGTGTGTACAGCTACTTCGCGTAATAGCGCAGTTTTCGAACCATTAGCCTTGAGCGCGGTCGTCTTTTGCTTACGCGCAAAATCTTGCCTTTTTTTTTTTTCTTTTTTTTTGTTTCCCATGCGCCAGAGAGCGACAAGGTTCGGGGAGCTTTTTCAAAGGACATTTGACGCTTCGCGTTTCAAAGGGCAAAAGTTCGGTGAGGACGACAAGAAGAACAAAGCCATAAGCGAGCGAGAGAGGACGTATGGATCGATTCGATTCCTCTTCCGAAGGGTGGGAATTTTACGGTGGCAAAGGCCAAGGCGATGGTAGGTATAACGAGCTCCTTTACCTACGAGCGGCCGTCCCAGATGAGCTAGTGGCGCTCGTTAAAACTTGGCCCCTCGCGACACTTGCATCCGCCGGGGAGCCTTGCGGGGGAGGACGATTTAAATTCCACCAGCCCCTCAATCTCCGTCTGCCTGTCTCCGCTGTAGTTGGGAAAAATCAAAGGTACACGGGGAGACAGGTTCCCTTTGCCGTCGTCGGAGCTTTTTTTTCCGCCCGACCAATCGGACTAATGGCCTCGTGGACAAAAGCTCGAGGTCGTGTTTCCTTCGATCGTTCCCCACCCCCGCAGGGCTGACTGATTTCGTTTCGCTGCGACGACGAGCGTATGTACCATGGAGCCCTCAGCTTACCTGTTGCGGATTAATAACGGAATATCCCTGTCGCGATGGTATACCTTTTGAGTTTAGGGCTCTTTTGGAATTTTTTTCGGAAGTGCTCGGTTAATCTGGTACCGTCGAGGTACATTATGGAGTTGCGGAGCCGTGGCCTTTCATTAAAATTTCAAACGGAGTGGCGTCGCCGTGCATTATACGCTCGGTAAAATTACCCCCCCCCCTGCACGACGTATGCTCTCTTTGTCTTTTTATTATACGAGCCGAGATGCGCGGTTAAATGTCCCGTGCTTTCGGGGATATGTTTTTAAACAGCTGCCCGACGACGCTGTACAGAGGGCTCGTGTAAAAATTAATCATCTTGCACGGGAAGGGAGCAGGTGTATGTAGGGTGCCGAGCGTTGATTTTCTTTTTTTTTTTTTTTTTTTTTTTTTTTCACTCACCCGTGTAATATAGTCGATACCTCACTTTCACTCCGCTTCTCTCTGTCTTTGACCATTTTTCTTCGGCACCGCACTGCCTCACCGTCATCGCGTACGTATATATATATATTTACCGTGCCATCCGGCCGATAAGCATCGGCTGTTTTTCTCTCACCCCCTCCTAAGTGTCACGAACGACGATAAGGTGTCCGAAAAGGAAAAAACTTTTTGCCTCTTCCTCGATTCTTTCGCTCTCCATTTTTTTTCCGTCTCGGATCGTAAGCGAAGGGAAGTAGAAAATCAAAACGGAGATTGATCGATTGGAGGGCGCGGGGTGTGGGGTGTTTGTACACGGGCACACAAAGGGAGAATGGAAATTAGGAGGGAATGGACTTGCCGATACGCCGAGGAAAGTGGGGGTGACGAAACACTCCGAAGTTTTCTTTCCTCCCCTCCGACCTGTTATTTTTACTTTCGGACAACCCCCCCCCCCAACGACTTTATCGCCCCGTCGTACGTACATACAATAACGCCCTTTGGTTTTATACTGTCCTCGAGCGAGACGTGTGGCTCGTTTCACAATAAATTCAACTGACCTACTTGGTTTTTCTCGTGTACGCACTGGCGAAGCAACGTTATTGTTCTTATTCTTACAAACACATAATACATGTATACTTGACGAGTATTTACAGCTTTGATTATAAACGACACCATCAGCGTTTTGTCTTAAAATTTACTTCATATACATACATCTCTTTATAATTGTTACAATATTCTCTTAACTTACAAAAAAAAAAAAAAAAACTGAGGAAAGCCATGTCTCGATAAATTATCACAATAGCAGAGCAAATGTACAAATATGGGTACGTGTTACGTGTACCCGAAACGAATAAGTGTAAATATATTGTATCGACTATCGCGTGGACACTCGCGAGTACGGATAAAGTTAAAGTAGTTTTTTACTCACCCTCGCCCATTTTCCTTTCCCTCTTTTCCTGTACAACGTAACAAACGGCTTACGGCGTTTTATGCTCCTCTATACGTGCATATACAATATACATACACACGTGTTAAAACGAAGAGGGAGAAAGAGTTTTCTCGCAATATGCATTCGTTGCGCACATACGAACTGTACACACGTATCCTTGAAAATATTTGGCACGAGAGTATCGGTTTATCGCTGGAGGAAGGGCGGGGAAGGTCGCAGGTGCATAATACGAACGGACGCGCGGGAAATGAAAGATGGAAAAAAAAAGAAAACAAAAAAAAAACACGCGAACAAAACAATGGGGCTTCGTTGCTCTCTTGTTGTTGAAACACGTATCGCGCCCCGTTAACGAGAAAATTTTCCCCAAAACACATCGTTATCTCCGAGTATTAACTTCTTTTGTGATTTTTTTTTTTTTTTGTTCTTTTCCCTCGTTCGTTCGCGAAATTATATTACACGGAGGTTAATTGCTCCATAAATTACTTTTTCATTCCACCCCAAGGGAGCGCGTGTTCCGCGAAAAGAAGATGAAGAAGAAGCGACTCTTTGTTTTGCCGATGGAAAATTAGTATCGATTCAGCAGTTATGTTTAATTAATAAATTGGAGTAACCAGCCCGGCTATAAATGCGCGGATGCGCACTCGTGATTAACTTGTATTTATCGCTCAATCGATTAATTGTATACATCGTCATATTGAAATATTATCGCTTAGTGATGTGCTTATTTATGTTTACGTACGAACGTTTATATTATGTCATTCAATTAGAGCCAC